CCCCCCATGTGATAGCAGTCAAAGTAAAGTAAAAAAAAAAAGTTTTTAAAATTAAAATCAAATCAAATAAATCTAATAATAAAAAACATTTAAAAGTGCCCCGCCCCCTCGAGCACGCGCGTCGCCACGTCAACAAGCGTCGGGTGCGCCTACGTATGACAACGACAAACGCGATACACATGTTGGTTATCGCCGCGCACGCCGGAGTGAGAGCAATAATTCTAGGGCCAGTATTTTGGGGTATCTCTAAATTGATGACTTGTGGGGGCTTTTAAAGCGTTTTCTGTGGACTTTTTGGAGTACTGCAGTTTTTCGCCGTTTCACGGATGCACGCAATTTGTAAACTGGGCATGTTGGGTAGGGTTTTACTCGTTGTAACCTCATCTTTTATATTTCATTTAAAAAATGGGTATTTTATTGTGTTTTGAGGCATTTAATTAAATGTATCACTAAATTGTGGGGTTTAATAAGGAGTTGCGCTAATATTGCGCAACATAAAAATTTGCAACTACCATTATATTGTATAGGGTCTTGGCATTCAGAAAATATATAATGTGTGGGGGTTTTAAGTAATTTTCAGGCCTAAAATGTGGAATATAACATGGGTGCAAAAAATGAAAAAAGGTCTCAGTCATGAAGGGGTTAACTTGTCCATCTTTTTTTCAACAACCTATTACCACCTGCTACCACCTGCTACCCCCACCTTTTAGAATCAACATCCACATTTCTAACAGCCTAACAAGGTCTTTGATTGTTACACCTACACTAGCTGTATACAACTATGACTGTGGATGCTCGCTCTAACGTAGAATAACTTTTTGAATGTTCAGTCACTGTATCTTCATTGTTGCACTATGGAAATCAGTAAAATGAAATTAAAACATAAAAAAAATGATGGTATGTATTTAAACTTCCTACTTAACATTATTTCTGCTCTGACATGGTTGGTATACCAGCTATGCATCATCCACAAAAACTATTACCCAAACCCCCTGATATATACTAGTTCTAACAAATCAGTAAAAGATGCTATTACATTTGACCCTGCTATCTCCAGCTGAAGCAATGAAATCATCACTGAAAGCAATGCAAGTCATTAAGCCATCTTTCATGGATGCATTCTTGTGAACAGTGGATTAAAGCCACTTTTCATCAGTTTCCTTAGTTAGCCACTGACTAGCATTAGCCACACCTGCCATTCAATTCAAATCAGTTGGAAGGGCAGATGAAAATATAGCAAAAATACTCATAAATATAAAGTAGTGATCTGAGGAAATGGAAAATTTTAAGATACTTAATTCAAGAATGTTCATAGATTGACTCTGCCAGAAAAATAAGTCTGTAGAGTTATAATATTTTGGCCATTTTGTCAGATAATCTCCTTGGATATCTGTATTTTCATCTTAAAATACACAAATTGATAGACTGAAATATATTCATGTATATAGGAAGGGTTTGTAACCGCTTTATCTTGGCACAGTTTTGCAGATCCCTGTGTTAACTGGTCACTGGATAATAAATCAGCATAACCACACTACTGGTTATTTGCTTAAGGAGCAGTTAGGTGACCGAATAAACTGTTGAGCTGAACCAGGAAACAGTAAAAGACATGTTCCTGGCTGTGCAGTGTGGCAGAGGTGTGTTAACCCCCCTGGCGGTATTCCCGAGTGTAGCTCGGGGTTACTTTTCCATACCATAAGCGGTAACCCCGAGCTACACTCGGGAAAGCTGCATAGCATTTACTTACCATGTCCCTCGAGCCGCGCTGTGTTCTGCAGCCGATGCCTGCTTCCATCTTCCGGGTTCCGTCGCTTGCGAGCGTAAGCGTCGCAGGGGGCAGAACCGGCGGGATATTTTAAAAAATGTAAAAAAACGACAAAGACGAAAAACATTCGGAAAAAAAATAGACCGAAAAATGACATGAAAAAAATTAAAAATCATACCGCCAGGGAGGTTAATGAACCCCTTTTATGACTGAGCTAGTTTTCAGTTTTTGTTCATAAATGACTGACACACTTTTTACATTCCACAGTAGTAATATACTTTCTTACTAAATGTACCCACACATATTATATATTGTTTTTAGAGGACAGATAGGGCTATATAATTATATCAAAACATGTGTACCTAATGCCTCACTTAGTTTGGATAAAATAATAAAAAATGAGGAAAAAAACTAGAAGAAAACACTTTTTTCACAAGTTTTGATTATTATTTTTTTTTAGAATTTTTTTATAATTATAGTATACAAAATATATTTATATATCATTTTTATTTTCCTAATTTTTTTACACTTCATTGTATTTTTTTTTACACTTTTTTTGTCAGTATATATCAAGCAGTCACTATGGCTGCTTGATAAAGTTAAGCTTTTGTAAAAGCTTATTTTTTTCATTAATGAAAGAATAAAGCCGTTACATACAAATACGGGAGCGCTAAATTGCAATCCCGTATTTGACAGCTGAAAATAGCAGAGAAGCAGCAGAGTGACTCACCTCTCTGCTATTTGTTTTCACAGCTTGATAGCCCAATGTTTATGATACATTTCAGGCAAAGAGATACAATGTATCTCTTTGCCTGAAATGTATCACTTCTGATCGTCTGAGCATTATCAAAGACCTTTAGTGAGATCTGATTCTGACATGCTGTCAGGATACGTCTCTAAGGTTATTATTAGCCGTTCCTAAGTTTGGAGCAGCCTAATAATAGCCAAAAATTTAAAAAAGTTAATATTTCATTAATGAATGCTTCAATACTGAGGCATTCATTAATGAGTGGTAACCGCTGAGAATCAGCGGTTACCGGCATTACAGAACCTTAAATAACTCGTCACTTACAGTGTACGTGGCCAGTCATATAGGCACTTTGTGGCGGGACGTACAGTGTACGTCTCCCATCACGAAGGGGTTAAAAGACCAGATGAACAAATTCTTTGGCAAGTAACACAATTCACATATATGAATTTTGACTGTTTGTTTAGCATGAAACATGCAGAAAATCAGGATATATTTTGCATTTGGAATACATACTAATGTAATACAGGACGATAAATCTTATCAATTCATTTCCAAATATCTGTTTAATCCAATGTTCCCATTATGTCGTATTGCTTACCTTGCAGACTGTTTCAATATCCCATGGCAGAATAGTTCTTAAGTCAATCACTTCACAGGACAAGCCAAGTTTTTCTTGGGCCATAGATGCAACTTCACGAATAACATGAACCTGGAAGAGAGTTATGTAACTTGTCAGCAAAAACAAGTAATTGTATCATAATGAATGGTTCCCTAATGCCAAAATCTTTTGAATGCATAAGTAAATACATTCCAAGGGAACAGAAGGTAAACAACCGCCAACTTTTTCCTCCTGTCAGCATCAAACAACACTGACTTGTACATGTGTGTAAACAGCAAAGGACAAACTTTGAACACAAAACTAAAAGCAGTGTTTAATTAAAAGTCAATAAAAAGAAACCCCTTATCCAAAGCAAATAAAAAAAGCTACTTGAATAAATTAGACAGCATTTGGTGTCTGGTAACAATTTTAGCCGATATCTCTCATCTCAACAAATCTCTAACACTTCCAGTTGAGGATGTTCCTGCCTTCAAAGATGTTATAAAGATTTGGAGGGCTTTCTTGAGACCTGTTTCTTTTATCGGGCCTACCCTGTAACCTGTGGGGGTGGCATGTGGTTGTTCGTCAAACCATGGCAGTTTGGGCTAAAGCTACATTGAGAGACCCAGATTTAGTGTCTTCTGATCAGGAAATGCTGAGACGGGTGGGGCTTCTCCAAGGAGCCTTACGATATTGTGAACTGAACTTTGCAGGGATTTGGATTCAGAAGGTGCAGGATTGTTGGATCCAGTAAGTTGTATTGAAAAGGGTCGAACAAACAAGTATTTTCCGGAACATCCATCGGAACAAAGACACCACACCCCTAGATTGAATACATAAACAATGGGGCTTTAAAAGTGTCTGTATAAGACTACGGCATTAACAATCATTTTTATATATATGAATACCCACTATACTGTCATCACTCCTGTTCTCAGGAAAGATTCCAAGGGTTTTATTTGAACTTTTTTACAGTTCCAAAACCAGAAGGGGGAGTTCATCCTATTCTGAACTTAAAGCACCTAAACAAGTTTTTGTTAGTTTGCAAATTCAGGATGGAGTCAATTTGTTTAGTCATTGCCTCCCTGCAGTAAGGAGATCTTCTGGCCTCGATAGATATCAAGAATGACAACCTGCATTTCCTCATATTTCCTGCCCATCAGCATTTTCTACATTTTGCCATAGGAGAGGAGCATTATCAGTTTGTGGCGCTCCCCGTTTAGCCTTCCTACTGGCCTACAGATATTTACAAAAGTATTGGCACAAGGGTATTCATGTATTCAGTTATTTAGATAATTTCCTCCAGAAAGCATAGTTGGTTTAGATCGATCAGTGAACATTCACAAAACTATATTCCTGAGCGATTTGGTTAGATAATCAACTACCCAACATCCTCTCTGACCCCTCTCACCACCTGGAATATCTAGGGCTAATGTTGGACACAGTCCAAGGTTCAGTTTTTCTCCCTCGGGACAAGCTTCAGTGTCTACAAAGTCTGATCTGCTGTCATCATTCACGGCCACGCCTTTCAATATGGTTGTGCTTTAAGGTCCCAGGTTGGAGAGGTGTATTAGGCAGTCTTTCAGTCAAAAGGACATGGACCTTAAAAGAGTCTGTTGTGCCTATAAACATCCTCGAACTGAGAGCGCTCTATCTTGTCCTTCGACACTGGACCCATCGACTTGAGGGGAAGCCAACAAGGGTCCAATGTGACAATGCTATGGTGGCAGCATATTTAAACCATCAGGGGGCAAAAGGAGTTGTGCATCCCTAAAAGAGACAGAAAGGATCATGGAATCTTGGATCCGGGGGAATCGTTCCTAAATCCGCTGGTTTTTCAGCTAATCTGCCAGCGCTGGGGTATTCGGTATGTGGACCTTCTGGCATCCAGGTTCCACAACGGGTTTGTGTCCAGATCTAAGGATAGGAAGGTGTTCAGGGTAGATCCACTGGGATAAATTCAAGCCTATTTATTATTTTTATTTTTCCACAGAAAATTCTTCCGCATCTCCTTTGCTCTAAAAAGGGATTATGGCGATCCTATAAGCTCTCAGTTAGCCGAGAAGAGTGTGCTGCACAGAGATCGTCGGTCTGTCAGTAGAACCTCTGTGGAGGCTTCCCAATAGACCAGACATTCTATCCCAGGGTCCAGTCTACCACCCTGCTCCTGCATGATTAACGGACAGATTTCAGCTCTTAGGCACTGTTCACATGATTTTCAGGTCCTGATCAGGTTCGGATCTGCAGACGCGGTGCTATGTGTTTTGCCGCGTTTTGGCC